TGGATGCAGGGGCAAGATGGCGACAGTTTTCAGGATGGATAGCACGCAGGGGTCAGCGTCCAGATAACGTCCGGATACGGTGCGGTGCAGAAGCAGGGGTCTGGACGCCAGGGGCAATGCTGGTGCATCCTGATTAACGGTTTGCGTCCTGTGCGTCCTGTGCGTCAGATGCACAGGACATACAGGATGCGAGTTGAAATGGTTCCTGATGTCGTATAATGATCAGGGTGGCAAAATCTTGAAGTTTTGACTGTCCCTAAGTAGTAATAAAATCTTTGGGAAGGTGAATAGTGGACGCGGAGGATGGCTCTATCAGCGTGACTTTTTTTTACTTTTTTTATTTTTTTTACTTTTTTTTCAATTCATGTAGTTATTGTTTACAGTACAAAACTGCACATAGACCTTATGGTATGGTGTACAAAAAACTTTAATCCCAAATACATAAACCGTAAAGAAATCAATACCCGGTCTGAAAACCAAATAAGTTTCCTGTAACCACTTACCCCATAGCCAGGTCTCCAATATCCTTCCCCGCGCCACACCCGACAGTGTCCTGGTCAACACCCAGGTGGAGGGAGCCAGGATAGCCCCTTACCTTGCTAAGGATGACTGACAAAAACACATAAACAAACGTCACCATAACCAGTACAACACTGATAAGCTAATGATCATTCTTGAAAAGAAAACCCCGTAGACCCGGCCACTGGAGGGACTACATGTAGAGAGCACACCTGCTAATGTTTAGAGGAAAAGGAGCTACTGAAATCACCGCGCAGTAGGGCTGCATACCCAGTAGTCATATAATGAGCATACCAGCCCCAGAGGTGGGTGACCCACCAGGAGTCAGAGCCAGGAGAGGAGGCAACCAATGTTGCTGGACAGAGGGGATGTCAGCCCAACAGTATGGGTGTTAGCCAAGAGGGTTTGCCTGCCAGAGGTCAAGACCAGGAGAGTAAAGCGAAGCTGCCCAAGGGCCACTTGGAGGAAGCAGGTAGGAGAGCTGCCCCATTGCTAAGAGGAGGGCAGCCAAGTGCCCGGGAAGTATACGGCCAGCAGACCAGTGGGTGAGGAGGTGGAGGAGGAGGACCCAAAGGTGAGGGAGTCTAATGCGGCACCTAACTGCGTAGCCAGATCACAACAAGTAGCCTTCATGTTATGGGTATAGAAGCCCACAACCTGCCTGCCAATAACCAAGCTGACCATCAAAATACTAACCAAATCCCCCCTCCTTCGAGCCGACCATGCTAGAGCTAAGCGAGGCCAAGTGAGAGCAGCTCAAAAGAAGAGGTATAGCAGTGAACAGGCTCCTCTGAGGGGGAGGAGTGTATGCCAGGAGGATTAACTCCTGGTGGAGGACTGTGGAGGTACGGAGAGGTCAGCTAAGGGTCCAGAGTTGAAAGGTTGAAGTTCTACACCCCCCTAGTAGGGAGGATGAGTAACCAAAAAAGTAGTGATAGTTCTCTGGTGTTGAGTCATTCCCAAATACATCCTCCGTCTCCGCTACAACTCCGGTCATTGAAATCGATTTCCTAATTGGGAACGACTCAACACCAGAGAAACATCACCACTTTTCGGGCGCTGCA